AAAAATTCTTATATATATTATTATATATATTATTATATATATATTATATATATTATTAATTATAAACTCCCAGTTCAATGTACATATGGAAGAAAGATTTATGTAACAGTATATGCAATTATTTGATATAAATATATTAAATATAAACTGGATCATGATTAAGTGACAATATAATTGTTAAGATAATGATAGTGAGCATTGCAGTAACAATCGCGGCTATTATATGAGGACATCGTTTGAACAATACCTATAATTGTCATTTAAAATTTCAATAAATTTTCATTAAAAATTTCATTAATAAAAAACGATCATGATTATAATAAATTTATAGTCATTACCATTAACAAAACAACCATAGCAAAAATAAGAATAGACCCGACTGGTAATAAAAAGGATGCAGCCCAATAATGTTTCATTGTAGGTTCTATAAAAGAGAAATAGTTATGTTACTTTAAACTTATTCTAAAAAATTTTATTATAAGAAAACGATATTTTATATATTTTTAGATCAGATGCTCACCTATACGCCAATCTTGATTAAATCTATTAAAAATCGGAGAAAGTGATTTTATTATAATACTATTGTATTTTTCTATTGCAGAACCAAGCAAACTTTTTGTATCTATGGTTCGCGTATCATCTCTCAACTGGTCTCCTGCGATGTACATACTTATGTCAATTTATATTATTAATACAGTAACTGAAACAGTATAAAAAAATTATCATTTATAATTTTTGAAATCTATCTTGATTTTTTACGTTTATTAAACGTGAATTTTCTATTATGTAATAAGAGAATTTATTTGTAAGGTGATTTGAAGTGCCAAGAATTGTAATATACTTTACACATCTTGTTAGAATACAGTTAATGGTAAGGATGTTTTGTTGAATGTTTAAATTTTAAATTATTGTTTTTACATCTCACTATTTATTATTACTTGTATAACTTGTATAACTTCAGAAGCTACAGAATTCATATAATGAAGTTAAATATTGTTGTCATGTTTTTTATACATTGCAATCTTACCTCTTCTGTAATCTAACAATGTTTATTGTATACAACATTCTCATTAAAGACTGTTACTTATTTGCGTCATTCTCAATGATAGTATAACATTATTATTATTATTATTATTATTATTATTATTATTATTATTATTATTATTATTATTATACATAATAATTTCTTCCATTTTTACATTAAACTCTACTATCAACAAAAAATTTTTTTATTGTTTACTGCGAGTTTTAATAATGTAACTACGTGTTTATATAAACCGAAGTTTTTATTTTTATTGAAATCCTATCATATGTAAAATTTATTGTAAGAAAACGAAATGAGACAATCATTTGTGTAACTTTCAAAAGAAATTGTGACATCATTGTAGCCATAATGTATACGATGAAAGTAATTATTTAATCAAATATTATAATAGATAATATGTTTCATACATTTTAAATCTTATACATATGTTTCTAACGTAATTGTATGCGTGTAATTTAATTTGCATTGCTAATAATTTACAACAAAAAAACGTGGATTTTTAATACGAATTTGTCATCAAGTATGATCATAAATAGTCCAAAGCAATCAAATTAAATTTTACAAAACACAAAATATGTGACATATTGAATCTGCCCGATAGCAAACTTACAGAAAAAAAAATCCTTATTATTTATCCTTATTATTTATATCTTTATTATTTATAATAATGAATATTTTCATTTATAAGATGACAAACACTGCTCGGTTTTTGCTATCAGTTTTATTCATCAGTTTTATATCATAATATAAATGACTTTAATTAAATTCTATTTACCCAGCTTATCAAATAATATTTGCAATTTCAACAAGATAAAATTATTGATTTTAATTATTAATTTAACACATGAAAAAGATTACATTAAGGATAACGGATATATAATTAGAAAGTTTTCTTTAAACAATTCTGCTAGTTTAATTGATTATCGATTGAGTTATTCAAAATTTGATCGAGATTGTCTTATATCAGCAGATTCTACCAGTCAAACACGAAGATAGTGACGCCAATCTTGTCGAAAATAATTTCTGAATATACTATTCATAAATCAACAGTATTGTAAGATATGAATCCATAATAGTGGATAGTGTTCAGAATATTCAAATTAATAATTGTTCTTGAATATATATAAATGAGACTAAGACTTTATTCAGTTCACACTTTATTACACTGATAATCAAAGAACCGCACTTCGACCGGCATTTTAATTGGCTGGATAACTTAGCACGTGGAAAATGTATGTGCGATGCACGACCGTGACTTCCAGATTCTTCTCTCTCTAATATAAGCGATACATCTTGTCGATACCGTAGGAAAAACCGTTCTATTTCGAATATTCGTTAGACATTGCTCCGGTGTCTCCAGTGTGTCATCCCTTCTCTAATACATTTTCGGAGAAATGATACTGGCTCATGATACATTCGGAGCATTGCGTGTGCAGAGAAAAAATTAGCCAACGCAACTAAAGTATAGCTGTGGCAGCTAAAATGTGCCCTTCTATATATAATAGGGACAGCTAATGTTGTTGCTGCCAAAGCTCAATTTAATATCAATTATGGGTTCAAATTTTGCTGTTATTGCTAAAAGTTACTGAAGATAAAATACATTTTTTGCCGACATCCAACTTTATTAGTTAAAATTAAAAGCATACTTAACACACTAGAGTAGCTAAGTAACTAGCACCTCACTATCTTAATCGCGTAATCGAGCATTTCCATTTGCAATTGTTTCTAGGACGTTGCCGATTGCCTGTGTTGTCTACACATAATATCGTTTTTACGACATTGGGTGAAATGCTCATTGCATACCGCAGTCTATTTCCGATTTCAATTTATTCTCTAGTATGATTAATTGTAATATAACACATGTGTTATATTACAATTATATTGTTCATTGTAATTGAATGAAATTATAATTAACAGGTACATCACGTGTAACTGTGATTTACTGAATCTGTATTACAAGTTTATTTGATGTATTATGGATCCTTTAATATAAATAACTAATAAAACTTTAATATAAATAACTAATATAATATATATATATATATATATATATATATTATATGTAT